TCCCCGTACATCGAGCGTTGACAAAGCAAAAAGGAGATAACATACGGCGATCCCACGTCACGCTGTAGATGTCATCATCTCCATCTTCACTGTCTCCTATAATAGGGCAGAACGGAAATCTAACCCGATGTGCGCTCCCCAGACCGGCAGAGGTCAGAATTATCAAATAGCGTTCCCAATGGCATAAGAAGTAAGACCGGCAGACAGAGTACCTCACGAGTAACGAGCACGTCAAGTAATGGGATGGTACGCCTATCCGGTTCAATCCATCGGCAATTCAAAGGCATTTCGTGGTATCATCACTGGCCCCAACCGAAACACACCGTAGTTCGTACCTTAAGACATGCCACGACGGCTTCCTTCCTATTTTTATATCATTCGACGCTAAATAAGCTCTGTTGTCCATAAAATGTCATTAAAACCTACGACCAACCATTTACTTAATTAACCTACATTGCTGTGTTCGGCGAAATCAGAAGAATCCACACACTTGTCGTAATATTAAAGCAGCATTTCATCTTCATATCCGAAAAAAATAGAAACCAGCATACCAAATGAAATAAGGCGTTCTTTGCAAGAATTTGGGGTTAAAAAGCAACTACGAACATGGTATAATAATTAAAACAGGGCAGTAATTACTGTATAAACCAGAGGACACTACGAAGCGGTAAAAAGATATGAAAACGGGCGAATGTTGCTGACAACGGACGATCCGGGTGACAATCGACTGTAACATCGACTGCGTTGAGGTTAAAGGGAAGATAGATCAGCATATCCGGGACAATAGAAGAGTCGCTAATGATATAAATGCTTATAAAATGAGCATCAGTTATGGAAGAAATCGGTATCTGTAAGATTGAACCGAAAGCTTTTTGATAGAATCGGACCAAATGCATTGTAAAGCAGAAATATTACAGAGCATAAAATAAGCCAAGTCTAAACACTGTGCGATTATTTTCATTCAATTCATTTATTTAAGTGCTTGACAACTTCATAATTGTCTTTATTTACCATGGTACAGCCTATCATTGATAGCTCAGTCAGTATAGTGGCTGGACGGCCGGGGTTCGATCCCCGACGGGGGCAGAGGATTTTTCCTCTAGCCTCTGCGTCCAGACCAGCTCTGGGGCCCACCCAGCCTCCTCTACAATGGGTACCGGGGTCCTTTCCCGGGGGTAAAGCCGGCCGGGGCGTGATGCTGACCACTCACCCCATCTAGTGCCGAGGTCAAGGAAGAGAGGAGCTATACCTCCACTCCCCCCAAACGCCTACATGGCGTATAGTGGGACAAACTTTACTTTACTTACAGCCTATCATTAATACTTTCGAAAGTCAATACGAGTACAAGTTTTTGAACTAAAGAACCGGCAAGCGTCTACCAGACTAAACGGCGCAAGATCCAGAACAGCAGCAATCTTAATACTTCACGTCGTGAGAACCTGAAAGTACGGCAAGCCCCCGTGAACGCAGTGGCTGTGGTCACCGCATTAACAGTCCCTTTCACCCAGAGGAATCTTAAGCAGGGAGAAGGTTTAATCACTCACCTCCCAGCAACGCACTGTCATTGCACACGACCTCCTCAGCGGCGAGGGACCGGTTCAGATTCGACTTGCGTTTCGAACTCTTGTCCTTCTCTCGCCTCGGGAAGCAGGGCGAGGCCACAACTTCCGATGGGCTCTTCTGCAAAGACCCAAATTTCACAAAATTCAAGTGACAACGCTGGAGAGATAAATGCCACGGCATTCTAAATACCTACATTTCTCCGTTCTAAGTAGGACTTGAGGTTTCCACGGCGGCGAGTTCGAAGATGGCTGTCTTCTGGGTTGTAGTAGTGCCGTGTAGCCACCGCACAGATGATGGAGAAAGCAAGGACCTCTGAAACGTTGCTACCAGACTACACGGAGCTACAACCCAGAAGACAGCCATCTTCTTACACCGTCCTAGTTCCACCAATACTAATAGCAGCCATTACACAACGCGCCTACATTACTGGAACTGTATTCTAATTCTCGCCGACGGAAGGGCTGACTACCCCTAAATCCTAATGCCCTGTATAGTCGGCGCAATGGTTTTTGGCCGGTGGAGAAGCTAGCGGAGCTGGCGGACGGGCCTACTCTGTGTACCTGAGGTGGCACGGTCAGTGTATTTCTTTTGTTTGGGCGTTCAGTCCGATAAGCTCCTCGGTGCAGTCAGCATTATACTATCGCACAAGTGACTCGCTCCTAGCCTTCACCTTGAAAATTCCACCGGCAAAAACTACTGCGCCGACTATAGCAACTAAATGTGCCACCTGCTTCAATAATCAATAACTCAGCATTTTGTGCACAAAATGTGTTTATGTGTTTCGCGTTGTATCAGAGCAGACAGGCAGATATTATTTCCTTAAATATAATTAACCACCTTATCTTTGTAATGGAGAAACGATGTGTTTTCTTTGAGGTAGGAACAGAAAACCTTCATTCTACACTCGGTCTTTCAATGAGATTTTAAAACCAGACAATTCTCTCTTCGTCACAATCTTATAATCTGGAACATGTATTTGAATAGAGCAAAGAAATCTATGGCAAATAATAAAGAGTAAAACTCAATAAGGGGATTTTTTTAATTATCTACATTAAGAAAAAATTCACTTGGGCAAAGAAGAACACGGAAAGTATTGTAAGCAAAGAAGATAAAAATAAGAATGACAGAAATACAAACACGCAAGACTAAAACAACTAACGCAAATCATTCTATAAAGCAAACAAAGTTTTAAATAAACCATCTCTACTACGAGGTGCGATCATTGGTCTTTGTGGCAGAAAAGTGGTCAAATCATCACGACCTCAAAAAAACTGTGCTATAAGTTTCTTACCAGAAAGGCATATAAACGACCCCCCCCCCCCCCCCCCGGCAAGTTTTTGCCACCTTTCCTCGTTCATCGCTGCATAAAGACCCGACAGTTTCCATCCATCGTAGCTTCGGCCTTCGAATACTTCTTCTTCCTTCTCGTGTAACCTCGGATACATTTTTGCTTGGCAACTATATTCTATTCCTAAAACATTTCAATCTGCTACGTATAATAACTTTACATAAATTGAAGGTTCCTTGCATACAACGTACAATTCATGATTGCACTTAAATCTCCGCTGTCCACCGCGCACAGCAAGTACTTGTATATTTTCCTCTGAAATAAATCCAAGGCTTTACTTCCATCTGACGTCAGTGTCTATGGTTCTAAAGCGCCGACGAACAGGCCCAGTTTGGGACATTAAAAATGACAGAAGCAGACAAACCGGTAACGTGACATTCACTAAGAATTCCCACTTCACCAAGACATGACACATTTTCTCAACATCCTCATGTTTTATTTACCTACATTTTAATTCTCCTCTGCCCACTTTAATGTTATGACATCGACACAACATTACAGTATCGTAAACTTTAAGTGCCACTATATCATGGGAGGTCTTTCCATCTAAAATGGCGATTCCAAACTTCACCCTTATCAGGCACAATTGTCAAATACCACATAATACACGTGTAGGCATAAATTCAACAACGTAAAATTATTACACGTGTCAATCAACCGATCAGTTGGTAAGACAGCAATCCAGCCAGTGAAACAGTCAAGCCAGTCAGTCAGTTGGACTGTAGTCATTAAGACTAGCAAGTCACGTTTACGCCAAAAGTAAGAAACTAAATAAGTTGTGTATTAATACGTTATCTGGATTTGCCATACGAAAACTGAGAGGATCACAAAGTTTCCTGACTCAAACAAAAAGGTCAAAAAGACTTAGAAAGAATTAAAAAATTGCTTCTACATCAGTGGAAAAAGTATAATATTCAGATTTCTTTTAGAGATCCAAATTAAATCGTTTAAAGTATTGTTTGGGACTCTGACAAAGTCGGAAGGAATAGAAAAAATGAAAGTCCTCTCAACGTCAGCTGCACGTGTCAAAGAGTATTCCGAAAATGTCACAAAGGCAAGTCTGGCGATAAAGCGTTAAACGTTTATCTCGGCTTCAGTGCGAAGTTACACAGTGAATCACAAATACTATCAGTGACAGTGAATGTGCAACTACGCAACAGAGATTAATTACAACAGGGGCATGCAAAAGAGTGTAGCACAGCGGTGTTTATCACATTCGGACACACCTCCATTTCAGCCGTTCAGATACACAAACACACCTGAAACTAAACTAAAACAGTGAACATTTGACGGTCTAGTTCTTCAAATCACGCAGTTTAAATATTCTGTACGCATGCCGACGAAATGAAAAATAACAGTATCTATTATTCAACCGCTTGACGAAACCAGTAGAACAAATTCTCATTATTAAACCCAACTGTATTAAAATTAGATAAATTAGCAAGTCCTTTCTCCAGGCTTACAACAGATATTTTACAGAGCATCAATTTTGTCGTCGATCTAATCGGTTTGGGCATTATGGGTCAAATTGACGGGTAATAATTGTGATTATAATACTAATAACATAACAATAGTTCAAAATGGTAGCGCCAAATCGACAGTTGACCACTGCGCAATTATTACCATTGTATAATTATACCCACTGTTTTGTATGGTTATGAAAGTCTGATTCTACTATACTGAAGAATATAAATTCAAGACAAGATGTAACAGAAAGTTAGAAAACACTGCATAATGAAGAGGTTGAACATTTCTATTCACCAAATATCATCAGGGCAATCAAATCAAAGAAAGCGAGATTAGCAGGGCATGTGGGCATCTAGCACACATGGAAGAGATGAAAAATGTATATAGTATAGCGTATCACACAAATTCAACGTTACAAATCTTGACTGTTTGATACGATAAAGTTAAATAGCCCAAAACTGCCACTAATAGATTTCACTGTAATGTTTTATAAGACGAAGTTTCACAGCCCGACACAATGTCACTATACATTTCTCCACCCAGAGTACTGTGCCATGAAGACTGGACACCCCTCCCCACACAACACCTCAGCATTTAAGAACACTTTATCGCAGTCACACACTCCTACTTCTTTTGAACTGTACGTGAGGTCTCGGCCTACAACAAACACGCTTCAAGGGAACTGACGTGATTTTTATGTTAACACATCGAGACACATCTCATTTATTACCTATCAATAACCGAGTTACTACAGAAAAGGAACTGAAGATGACAGCCTTCTGGGATATTGCGCCGTGTAGCCTCGTACAAGCCGTCCGATGTTTCTGAGGTACGTACTGCCTCCATTATCAAGGCGATTCGGCATGGGACTTTAAATAAACTGAGAATCAATATTCCAGAATCCTCCGAACAAGAAATGCCTAGTCCAGTCATCTTTGTATGACGAGACAAAACGAGGAAATATAAGTACTGGCCTTGTACTTCGTGTTCCATCCTTCACAAAACATATGCAAGACAAAGCACATACCATTTTCTCTCACCTGTGTAAATATTACACTATGAGCTTTCCATCATGCTTAAAAGCTAGTGATATCCCTGATCCAGAAGAATACTCGGTAATCTTCCACCGAACCTGAAGCCACATTTAGTTTAATCTACATTCACCAACTATCTAATTAGACCTATGAAGCAGACTCCTTGAAATAATCAATAAAATCTTCTCGGGTAGTCAGCCGCGTTAACTGATTACCGTAGTAAACCGACGTTTCGGGAACCAACTCTGTCCCCATCATCAGGGTTCTGATACGACTGGATACCTCGGAAGTCGCCTCGAGTCGAGTTGGTTCCCGAAATGTCGGTTTACTACGGTAATCAGTTAACGCGGCTGATTACCCGAGAAGATTTTATTGATTGTACTCGCCGCGAAAGTCTCAAATCCTATATCCTTGAAATTATGACAGTTCATCAGCTGATAAAGAAATTACCTAAATTTGTAAAACCCCAAAGTTAATTATCGTTTTCACAGAACATCGCAGGAACCACAAAATCAAAGAGGAACCAGGAATGAAAGCCCTTGTTTCCCGAGGAACAATATCCCATACCACAGGCACTGAAAATACGAAAGAGAGAACAACAGAATCCTATTCTGATTTGGCACTACAGTTCAATTTTAACATTGCTCTATTTACAAAATTTTATAACACGAAAACATAGAAGACGCGAACCAAAACCTGGCTCTGAACGATTGTATTCGAACAACCCAGAGACCGTTGGGCCACCAGTAATGGTGCTTTGTCATACGCACAATTAGAATTCATGACCGCGATAAACATCTGGCAATGCATCACGCTGTTTAATCCTTCAAAAAGAACCACATAACTACATAAATATCACATAATATATAGGCTAACTTTAAAGAACAAAAACCCACTTTACTGTGACCTCATTAATTCCTTGTAATGAATCATTATCTGCCAGCAGAAATTCTAGCTGCAAGAATGCAGGTGCCTTTGTTCGTACAAGGGCCACCTTTCCCAATGTAACAGGTTCATTCATTATTCTGCCTGCTGGCCTATCATATGACACTGGATGGAGTACGCTACACATGCCTTATTTGGCTCGATACGACACTACCCTTGATCTCAATTCAGTCCCATGCTTGCTTTAATGTAAGCACCAATATCTGAAATCACAGCAAGGGAGACCTCTAACAGAAAAACTAGTTTAGTAGAGAGTGCGCCTTGAAGCCTGGCACTTCTTATAAACATTTAATTTCTCCAACTGGTTTATTTTCAAACAATTTGTCAGCGTAGTCCACCCTAGTCTAAAGGCTCTTAAGAGCGAGAGGCCATCTATCATAACTCAGTGATTAATTTGCTTCAATAATTTTACAACTACTGTAGGCAACAGAAGTTAATGGTAGTAATTACATATTTTAAAGTTCCTTTTCAAATTTATTCCTGGTTTCATTATTTTTTAAATCTTGTTTAAGGTCGAGGCAGATACGTGAACAGCTAGAAAAAGAATCATGGACTTTATGGCTGGTGTTCAAGTATCGTTAAGACAGTAGACATTTCAATTATTCAACATCACTTCGTAGTATTTATGACAGCAGCGCGTATAAGGACGTAACTTCCACAAGATGGCTGACTTGCCACGCAAGAATGCACGGATACATTTTAATCACGAAAATACATACTGTTCAAAACGCGGGAAGCCATCTTCAGGGGGTATTTTATTGGAATCGAGACAATTCCAGAAGAGTAATAATAAAGTACAAGTTAATTACAAACTTATTTGACAAGCTAAACAATTTACATGTCTGCTTTTCTTAAAGGCATCAATGTGAAACGTAATTTACCAAAAATACATCGCCAAGTGCTTTTATAAATGTTCTACTACCATTTCCTAATTCGACAGACGTCACTGTTGTAGAACAGTTTTACCCAAATCCTTCCAAGTTCGCACTCGCCCACTTGCTGTATGGCTCATGTAAAATGCTTTTTACCGCGGGAGACAGACAACATCCATTATGAAGTCCTATAACGAGATCTCCAAGCTCTTCAAATCACATGAACGTGAAAGGGCCTCAAGGCCAATCTATGTGTCAGGGCAGTGTTCATCAGCGATTCTGATAACCGGAACAAGTCAAACAAAGGCAAGCACGGAAACACGGGGTAACCAGCAAATATTTGGTGTTTGTTACAGATGTAAGGTTTGCATTTATACTACCAAATAGAAGTTACACAAAAATTCTTTACTTTCTTCCCTTAATAACAGGAAATTAGAAATGTCTGTATGAAGCCAGCAACTTTATTCAGACTTCACAACGAGTTGAATGCGGGTGACGACCTACCTCTTTATCCGACGATCCTGTCGTACCAGTGCTGGGAGTCACCCCTCGTCTGTCGGCTACTCCAACCCGACGAGTCCTGGAGGAACTCAGCAGGGAACGAGAAAGGCTTCCTCCATCATTCGGATCCCTCGCAGGGACGGATCGTAACGATGATCCGGACACTACTCTCCCAGTCTGATGTGCAAGTGAAAGACCCGACGAAACAAGTTCCTTGCCACTCTGAGAGCGAGATAGAACTGTCCCCGAGTCCTTGGAACTATGAGATCTGGGTGACAAACTCAAGTCTCTGATTAGTTCCTTTCCGCTATGAGATCGTGACAAAGTTAACCTCGTTGCAGCTTCTCGACCGTCTCTTGATCTAAGTGGTGATTCTGTCGAATCTCTGAGGAGATCCTTGCCACTCTGGGAGCGTGCTAAGGACAAACTATTGTCCTTTCTAGGAGAGAGTCCTGAAGAATCCTTACTTAAGTCTTTGCCGCTCATAGAGCGCGTTACAGACTGGAGAACGTCCTTGGAGTCCTTGCCAGCAGCACTACGAGGAGATGTTGATCCTGTGTTCTTACCATTTCGAATTAGAATTCCTGAAGCGTCCTTACCATTTTGTGCATTATTTTCTGTGAACAAAAGTGATATTCGGAAATACGTAACGAACTGCCATGTGTGCTCACTTTGTTAACTAAAAAAACAAAACAAAAACAAAACTGCGCAGGTAATTTTGAAGCCAGGGAACTTGCAGTCGCTATTAATACGTAGTCTTTTGTTTTTTCGAGATTCAGCTGCGTCACTCGCCTGGCTCAAGCCAAAGAACAATAACAACGAATCGGACACGGCCGTCCAAAGCTAATGTATTAAATTTCTAGCGGTTTTGGAACCTGCGGTTTGAGTTCAGAACGGGCGAATCTCACATATTACAAGCTCTTAAAATAAAACCACAGTAGAAGAGATATAGAACCCAAACGAATATCGAAAAGTGTCATGAAATATATGTGGCAGGAATAGGCGATAGCCCAAACCATGCACTGAATAATAATAAAAAAACATTTGGGGAAAACAAAGTTCGTACTACACGGAAGGCTGACTGAAAATTACAAACACTGTCTTGAACGCATAAAAGCACAACGTGATAAAATTCAGCCCCAACTAGAACCCGAACAGAAAAAGAGCAGTAGACCAGTGCCTGTGCCTGTACCTGAAGGAGACGTGACTGCAGCCCGCAGTCGGGAGGTCCTGGTGGTGCGTACCCTCTGCATACTGGATGGTGGCGGATGGTCCGTGTTGCTGCTGCTTCCACTTCGGTCATCTCCATTCCTCACCGGCGTTGTGGCCGTGTTGCGAGTAATGAAGCGACGCTGTGGGGTGATCGACGCACTTCCAGAATCGTCCCGAGAACCGTACTGAGAAGCCAACTGTCGCCGACGTTCCTCTTTGTATTGCGCCATCCGTTCAGCGCGTTGATGTGTTTCCACACCGCCATCAGACGAACCACACGTTGCCAAGTCGTCAGGAGGAAGGACCTTCGATGTCGACGACGACGACGACGACCACAGGTCACTAAAAAGTTGTAACGCACCTTTTGCGACTGTTCGATAATTACTTTAACCCTCTTAATCCCAGCAGGAACTACGTACATGTACCACCTGTTTTAGCCGTCAACAACTCTGCATTTTACATATATTTGTTTCAGTTAATTCCCAGTACAGTAATCATTACATAAACACCATAAATCACTTAAAATTTGTATAGTGACGTGTCTTGTTTTCTTTGCGGTACGGGCTGAATTCTTAACTATTATTCAAAGGACGATTGGCCGGAAGGGGTTAGAGGGGCTTGGTAGAATATACGAAACATAAATCACCAAACTTGCAGTGCACAAGTCATGACATCAAGTCTTTGACGACAAAGGAACATTTTTGTCACAGTTTGAAGGTTTCTGATGATAGTGCGTCATAATGTGTAAAAATGATTTTCCATTTTTCCACCAAAGCATAAAATCATAAAATTACGACGTTTCGAAAGCTGATTCTGCTTTCGTGATCAGGCAAGAAAGGAGGGAGGAGGGCAGAAAACTTCTCGCGAATATTTGAATATTTATAAATTTCACATTGAAGAATGATGTACAATGCTCTTCATTTGCGTTGTGTTTTTGTTATGGTTTTATACAGACATTCACAAAAATTGGTGGACTGATGTAAGATTTTATGTTCTTATCCAAATCCAGTGAATGGGTCGGATAGGCACATGCAACTCGTCAACAAGATTCCAAAAAATAAATTTAGTTTATTTAGCAACCTCAAAACCAATAAATTTAACAATAACATTATTTAACACATACCACATGAAGAATGTAGGGTACTATAAAGTACGTTTACGAATACACCTATCTTGACACGGAGTTCAAAACGAATTCTCACCTCCTAGCATTGTTATAAAATATAACATAGTAACTAAAATCAGAATTATAAATAATTCAAACACCAGATAAATTATAGTTAGAAATCAGTGACCACTCCTCATTGTCACGCAAAATATGTTCCGGCAATAAAAACTCGGGACTTTCATTGCTGTCTAACATTGGCAGCGGAAATATGTTCCCTACCCCCATGCGAAAACTATGGCTGAAAACACTACGAGATACCTCTTCAAAGAATCGCAGTGACTTTTCCATTAATGTATTTCAAGGAGTCGTATTTACTAATCTAATGAAGGCTTTGTCCTTTAAAAAAAGTATCTTAAATGTAACACCAACTGAGCCCCGCACGCGAGATGACAGGTAAGCGGTATCTGGTTCAACAAAAAGCTCTCAGACGGGACACATCGGTCTAAAGTCTACAATTTTCAAATATTAATTAGAATTTAATTAGAATTTGTATGTCATACTTGATAGATAGAACGTAATGAATACCTATAAGCTGTTAATAACAAGTGCAATTATTTTAGGTGTCAATGTCGTTTACAGTGTACATTACAAGGTTTTAGCTCCTGGGACTGCGAAAACACAAACACACCTGAACCTATTTCGCATTTGGCAAAGGAAATGTTTACTTGCGCTCCCACGTACAGAACTTTGGGGAAAAAATATCAATCAATACTGTCATTGTGCAGACGATGTCGACAAGCTTAGCAGTTTTTCGTCACAGTTCGCACATTTAAATGTTTCGATATCGATATGGCACGAAACATATACTTAATAAATTATAGAAAAAATTACATTTGGAAAGTTTTTTCTATATAGTGAACAATCAGCGAAACATAAAAAAATATTTCTCTGATAATGTAGTGTGGAATCTGAAATGGGAATAACTTTGCTTCCATGGGTTTGCAATAATACAGCCTACATCTACAATATCGACACCAGAGAAGTAAGAAAATAGCAAAGAACATTATTTGCTAAATGTATAATCCAGCGGGAAACGCGTTAACATTCCGTTTTCCTGCTTTATTCAACACCAAATTTCCACGAATTCACATATTTCTCGTAAATGTTTAACTTGACTATACGAGTAATTCATTTCATACACGAGATTAACTATCACGGTAAAGCGTCTCTTAATTCAAATAAATATAATTTCACGTTAAAGAAAGCAACTCCATTCATAAAAATCATGCACTGGAAATGCTACCTCCAACCTTTCATTCCTACTTTTACATCAATACAAAGTCTGAATCATCTGATGTGAGCGCAAGGTCAAACTCATGGTAACAATTTTAGCTCTGTCCTTCTTTAAATCAGATTACGTAACTCACGGATTATGGTGATTCCATTGAACGGTCATGCGAAAACACGATCTGCAAATTCCTAGCAGTCACATTCTTCGTATTTAATCTCTGCACTTTTCCCCCTACGCTCTATGACAGTTCTCTATTTGTATCTCTGGCATGCTACTTGAAAGAACATATTCATCGAGTCACGGCTTACTGCACTCCATTTTACGACGAAAATATACTTTTATCTAATTCGACACAGATATTGTCTTTCTTGATCTTGAATGCAAAGATAACTGAAACAATACCGGTGCCCTTGAAACGAAGTGGCGTTTCAGATAGAAAGCTTTGAAAACAGCTGTATCAAGGCTAGTTAGGCACCCAAAACTACAGTCGCTCTTCCTAGTTTGTCAAAAAACTCGGCCGACAACTGGCACCTAAGTTCAGGTCTCCGGCTAGCTCAACCAGGGGGCCCAACAGACAGGCTTTCTGTCTTTACCCAAGCTTCCGAAACGTAATTTTTTTATTTCACATTTCAGACATTCAACAAAGTTAAAACAACAAAGATGGCCGTCCAAAAGATCTTCAGACTTCGTCAATTCCACTTTATTTACAATACACTGTTTTCATTTACAATGACCCTCACCGATATCAGGGCTTTATCCTCAGGACGGGACATAATATCAATCACATTATTACAGTGGCAGTCGCTTTAGGATTAAATTAATAAACATTTAAAATCAAACATATGATTTAACAAATCTGTAGAGTTTAGAACAGTCTGAATGTCGTCGTTCGTTCTCTTACACGATGAAGATGGCTGTCTTCTGGGTTGTAGCGCCGTGTAGTCTGGTGGAAGTTTATCAACGTTTCAGAGGTCAATGCTGCCTCCATCATCAGGACGATGAGTCTCCCTGATGATGGAGACATCTTCGGACTCCCAGCCTTGAAAACCTTAAATCCTCTTAATGGTGTTTATTTTTAATAATACAATTGGGAGAGTGTGGTGATCTTATTTCTTGCTGACAGACTTCGCTGAATTACCAACCTCTGCATGGCTGTGAAGTGTCCACTGCTCGTTAACGGATGAACTGTTGTCCTGGACTGGTGGCGTAGGTCGTCGTGGCATGGCCCCACACCCACAAAACGTCTACCGCTCAAAACGTCGATGCTGCTGACTCTCCCACTGCCACTTGGCACACCAGTACTGCCAGTTCTTCCTGATGATCCTGTTGAAAACATGGAACAATTCTCTATCAGTCAGGCGTAGGGATGCATTGAAACAGCGCATGTGCCACAGCCACCCACCTGGTGAAACTACTGCCGTTCGGCCAAAAGCCAGACATTCCTACACGAGTGAGAGGTTTCAATGTTGTTCCAGAAGCAAACAAGTACCAAATACTTTCAATGTTCTGAACTATGAACATCGATTAGTTACAAATAAACAGAGAAATTATCTCGTCGTTCATAACAGATAAAAAAGAACAATGCTAATTGTAAGAACGTAAAATCCACGAAAACTAAGTTTATTTACGAATTTAGTGTGCAGAATTAATAGAAACTAGTCACAGAGAATTTGTACAAACGACTTCGGAAACTCAAGACCAGCCTACTAATTCAAACCACGAATGTGTGTTTCTTTACCTTTTTGTTGGTCACATTACAAGGCAGATTAGAAGTAACACTTCTAACTTGTATTTTGAAGGTGCATGGTACGGTATCACGACGCCAAGCCTTCGACGCTAAAAACTAAACTACTGAAAAAGCGTCGTTAAATAAACTAAAAGTACAAAATTCACCATCCTTTCTTCAATGCCAATGACCTCTGCAGCCGATACAGCATTATTAAATAACAGAATCTCAGTCTTCCTATTTCCGAGTATTTTTGCTGACCTCGCGTAATGACGGACCATGCATAATGAACTTTAACAGCAAAACATCCTACATATCGGTCCGACCGGTTCTAAGTACCTGATTACGTCAAAAGCTGTCCGATGTGGTTAAAGAACGAGAAATTATCCACTGGTACATTCGGCTGGAACAACAAAGTAAACCCACATTGTCGAACTGTTGCAAAATTAATCTCGCGCGTAACATAAATCATACAATACATATTATTTATTATTTAAATCTTGTCCGTCTAATCACAATAAATTCTTATTAAATATTAAAATATTACAATAATTAACATTTAAAATATTTAAAATATTAAATGATGTTCTTTATCGAATAAAAATAATAAATAATATATATTTATTATATCACAATATGACGCAACTTTACCATCTCATAAATCATACAAGTTAAGGACGAACAATGTATTCCTAAGTCCACTTCTCTTGTTTTCTGATGGCTTAAGCCTGCTTCCTGAATGACTTTAACAAATCTCTGACTGGGAGCTAAGATTTGTGTGAGGTCACACAATCATGTTTGCATTATGTAAATAAATGACGCCTTTAGAGTTCATCATTCACAATTATCGTTTCACTCGACGCTAAGGACGTATTCAGTCGAAAAAGCAACGCTTAATATTTCACTATGTGTACAGAGGGCAAGAGTCCAGTCCTCCTTCATTGTCTCGCACACTGACAATATAGAAATTCAATCCCTTAATGACACGGACTTCATGTTAAAGATTCTTACAAGTGGCGAAGGAGTACCAGATAAAAACTAGTGTGAAGTACATGATTCAAAATAAACATGATGCACACACTTCTTCGGCTGAGAGACAGCTACCCATGCAACTCCGATGTGAAATAGTTAGCTTCGAGTGGTGACTTAATCACATCAACACTGCTTATATAAACCTACGAGTTGTTATTTACAAAGTATTTTATGTTCCCCTGCCGCTTATGCAGGCATTAATACAGGGTAAAAAGCAGTTCAAAGCACGCAAAACTGCATGATTTTATATTGGTGCAATTTAGTATGATGAAAAGAAATCAGCTCATCTGAGAATGCACATTAATGAAGGCCATGCATATACAAATATATAAAACACAATTCTTCTTTTAAAAAATAAGCACTGTATATCAGATATCAGGAGATGACACAAAACCTTGATTCAGTTTGTAGAAAATGGATTCGATGAAGAAATCGAAAAAGCAACCATTTCCACGAAAAGAAATGAAATAAAAAAGAACTGTGTAAACAAAATCAGGAAATTATAAACAATCCGGAAAGCTTCGTTCAAAATAATCAAACGCTAGCGAAAAAGGGTAGACGCCAATTACACAAACCTGTTGATGCTTCCGGCCTTAACACCATTTTCCAGTGGGGGACGTGTCGGAAGGTCGTCTTCAATGCTGAATCAATTTACAGCTCTCTATTAATATAGATTCTGTTACTGACGGGATTAACAAACCTACAAACCAACTTTCATCTTAAAATGACACGTAAAACAAGCATTACCTGTTCCTACCGAATTTGTGAAGCACCGGATACGGCAACAATTATGTTCGAGAAATTCAAACATGTAAATCTCAACAAATAAAATTAACGTAAATTGCATAAAATTCTATACACCGACAGTCACGCGTGTCAAACCTGGAAAACAAAAATCCACTGTGTTAAAACCCAGTTGTGGCCCATGTACACTTACACGATCAAGTAAGCAAACAAGCTAAAACTGAACTCCAAATTACAACGCAGTAGTTGGAACCCAAAGTTTGTGAGGAGCCCCATGGGCTATATCAGTT